TCACTAACTATTATATATAAGATAAACAATAACAAAAGTAAAAGAATAAATAAAAACACACACACACACACACACATATATATATATATATTTTAATCAAACTAAATAGATAATGACCACACTTATTATTATTATTATTATTATTATTATTATTATTATTATTATTATTTTCAAACAATATATAGATAGGCACATACAAACAAAATGGTTGAGTGATGGCAATTGAATAGAATAACATAGGTCTTACAGTTTCAACAAATCAATAACATGTTCTCCATCTTCCCTCTTCTCTCTCTCTATCTCTTGCTCCTCCATCTTCTCTCTTCTCTCTATCCCTCTTCCGCCATTTTTAGCCTTTTTTTTTTGTGTTTTTTTCGAAAGAAGCAGTTCGGAACCGTTACGTAACGGTACGTAACAGGCCGTTACGGTTGTTACGGCACCGTTATGACTGCTATGGCAGCCGCTACGGCTAACACACCTGTAAATCACACTGCAAAAGCGGCCGTAACGGGTGGCGGTAACCACCACAACCGTCACGTAACAGTTGTGGCCGCTTTTTAAAACCTTGATCACAAGCATTTGAATGCTAGTAGCCGGGATCACCCAAGAAATCTCCACCACCTGAAATAACATGTACCATGAGAACAATATCAGTAGACAATGCAAACAAAGGTGATCCATGGATTCCTCATTCGTACTCCACATTATACACCATTGAGGACGAAGAATGCAATTAGGCCTTGTTTCCCCTAAAAATGTCATTAGTCATAAGACTATGACGGGCCTTTTAATATAAATAATTTAAGATGCTATGAGAGGAATCTAGTTGCTCTGATATTTCCTTGTGGCAAATTCTTCCCAGTGAGCCTGGTGACTATCTGCAAAGCTTTCATTCATCTAATTGCAGCACTTTCTTTGTGAGTTATTATGTTATGCACAAAGTAGTTTTTGATACTTGAGCCAATTAGCTTCTGAGTCAAATCTGATTTATTTTCTGGACATGAGCTTACAATGACTTTTTCTGTAGCATTTGAAAGATCAGGAATAGGCAATGTCAGACCAATTGGGCTCCGATAATAAAAATTGGGAATGCAAGTGAGTACATGAAGTATGCCTGACAATGTAACATCAAGAATTGTGTTAACTTTGAAGGGCCGAATGTGGACCATATTGATATTGTATTGGGAAGTAAACCCCTCAATATAGCATTTGCTGGACTCAGAGTATATTGATCCTTGAGCAATTATTTGATTTTTGATTTTAGTCTGGACAGTCTGGGCTGTATTGAGATTTCTCTGTTTTGGCTTGGTGTGTTTCACACTGGCATAGTTCTGTAGTAAAAGCAACTCCATCACTTTCATGTATCCATTGGACTGCAGTCTTGGAAATGGCTTCCTTATTTCCAAGAACTTGAGTACCGCTGCTGATCCGGCTGGAGGATCAAGGAAACTTCCAAATAATGTGAATAATTATACTACCCACCCCTGTCCCTGGCATTTGGGCAGCCTGCTTGGTGCCTCTTTGAATAAATATTTCTTGTTATAAGAAAAGGAAACAAAAGTGCACACACAGAGACACACATACACATATGTCATTTGCATTTATGACAGTGATTCTGGTTATACCGTTTTCAAGATTCATCTTAGCTCTTATTTGTAGAAGCTGATTGTGAGAGCCTACAATCTATTTTGCAGGAAGAGAAGGACAAGAAAATCCAGGAACTATACAATGAACTGCAGCATGAAAGAGAACGATCAGCAGCACTCCGGGAACAGCTACACGAGATTCTTAAAAATCTTGACGAGCATTCTGAGTTCATGTCTATTAGAGTTGAAGATATATCTAACATCATGAAACAAATTGAACTCAACAATGATTAGCTTCAGTGGCACTACTGATAGGTTTCTTCTGATAGAGATTGGTCAGGCATACACATAATTTCGTTATGACCCATTTACCCAAGTAGAGAGCATCAACATGACTTGACTACCATGACTGTTTGTCATCTGAGAAGGTCTCTACCATCATGAAGACAGTTTGCTGGCAACCCAATATTACTAGATGGAATTTTTGCTCGATAAAAAGAGCTAGGTGTAGGTGACCGCCACGTGGCGATCCTCACTCCTTGGGGGCATGATTAATAGATCGATTTTGGGGACTCTATATTTCATCCCTTGTTAAGTGTCATTCCCAATTGAACACCATGAAAATAGTTCTAATGTGTTCATTATCTGAAGTTGTATTAATACGTTATTTCAATTGATCATCGAGAAGGTTGAAATAACATTCCACTCTCTCTCTCTCTCTGAGTGTTTGATTTTGTTATAGAACTTGTTTTGGGCATTGTAAGAGCATTATTAGATGGCTTCTCGTGTTCATGTTTGAGCTTCTTATTAAGTGCATTTTCTCATTGCCAGTTTTGAGTTGGTTCTACTGTTGAATGAGGTCTGCTAGTTTCATCAGGATTTTTCCAAGTCCGTCTTATTTGGTATTTTACATTAGGTACTAGCTTTCAACGTGTCCATTAGGTACTAGCTTCCCTCACGTTGATTGGAGAGTCCAGTCCAAAATTCCATGGAGTCCTTGGCCAGCACCTTGCCACCACTCTCTCTTTATCTGTCATATACATATGGACTCATGAAGATGAACATGCTTTGAAACGTACACACAATAATGATGACTAGCGCACTGCATGAGAGAAGGTACTTCATTTACTCCTTGTGACAACATTGCACAGCACAGCACAACTCAACTCCACTCAAATTATTATATATATGGCTACACTACACAGTCAATTGAGTCCATGAAAGCCAACCCCACCAGGTCATACAATGGAGAACAATAATAAGAAAAAGAGTAGTGATGTGAGTTTCTTCCAGATGCCACTTCACTACCCAAAGTACACGAAGAAGGACTACCAAAACATGCCTGAGTCGGTGCTTGACAGAGTGCTTGTCCAATACGGTTTATCATCGTCGTTGTCATCATCAACATCCGCTGTGCAAGGTGCTGACAACTTGGCTTACAAGAGGGACTTTGCAATGGGTGCCTTCCTCTGGCCTTCTCCTGATTCCTCCTGATCACAAAACAAATATTCCCCTACTCCCCAACAACTCCAAACTCCCAACTCCCAACTCTAACTCTGTTCCCATTCTCCTCATTTACTTTTGTTTTGACTCTGTACCTTCCATCTTCTACCTTCTAAGCTTCTTGCCTTGACAAGATATTGTTTAATTACCTTTCAGTACTTTTGATTATCAAGAAATGTTCTCTTCTCTTCTCCTCTTCTCATCTTGGGGGGACTTATATTGCTGTGGTTCACATCTATATAGAGCACTGTATGGGCATGATTTTATCATGTTAATGTTTCAAGTTTTTTGATATACCTGTGTGTGTGTGTGTGAGAGTACAACAAAGGATAAAATTGTTTACATTTCAGGTTAAACTCGAGTTAAATCCGTCCAAGTTAAATTCCTAAAAATAGCTTTGCATCTATCTCTTCTTTATAGAGATCCATCTAAGGACTCGCACGTAAAATATTTCTTCCAAGAAAAGAGCTGTGTTAGATATTTAGATGTTTATGGCACTGTACTCTCTGCTTTTAAATTTTCATCTCATGGAAGGGAGAAAATATGGTCTTCAAAATAGCAGATAAATTCAAAGAAAAATAATTATAATAAGTAAGCACAGCAAAGATCGAAAATTGTAGGATTAAGGTTATAAAATGAAGAGATTTTAGCACTGATCATTCAAAGAGAATAGCTTAATTTTAAATATGATAATTTAAATATGATTTTGAAATAAATTATGATGATAACAATGTAAAAGTAATTAAAGTTCGTCATGCTCAAAATTATAATTGTACAAAGATTATAATAAAATAATGGGTTAATTTCTCTTTCTACCCTTAACCAATTATCAAATTGTCCATTTAGTTCTTAAACTATCAATTGAGTCTATAAGTTCTTAAAGTATATAAATCAAAATTTATTTAATCCTTAAACTATCAATTTAATCTATTAAGTCCTTAAAATATTTAATTTAAACATATTTAATAGAATTACAAAAAAAAAAAATATAAGCCCCGTAAGTATTATAAATTAATAGTTTTTTTTACATAGTTAAGATTTTATTTCAAAAAAACTTTCAATTTATATTATGTTTTTGAAAAGTGTTTTATTTCACAGTGTGTTTAAATTGGTATCAGAATCTGATTTTTTAGTCTTGCTAATAAAAGTATGTGAGTATTAGATATATTGAAAGTAGATTATGATAATTTAAATAATGCTAATTAAGTGCTTAAAAGAACTTAACAAAAAATTTAAAGACAATCAATTAGAAATTATAAACGAAATTTGACATATAATAGTAGACAAAGACAAGTAAATATGTATTGTAGAAGATAAGTAAGAAAATACTACACATAATTTCCCTTATCCTCACAAAGGGAATCACCAGAAGAGCTAGCGCCCATTTTTTAAAGACATAATAGAAATTAAAGTTTTTATGAAATAAAATCTTAACTATTTATAGTCTTTTAATGCTAGACTTACGTGTATATAGGTGAACTTATTACTCAATAGATCTTGTGATAATTATCGGCATTTTTGTAATAAAAAAAAGTCACTAATTGTTAATTTTTACCGATACGTTGAAAAATTTGTTACAGAAAAATGTATTAATTGTTAGTTTTTAGCGACAGATTTAAAAAAATGTCACAAGAAACGTCGCTGATTGTTGGTTTTCAGCGACAGATTCAGAAAATCGTCATAAAAATGACCACAACTATCATCAAAACAAACACAATTTTACTTAATCCCATCATTAACAATCCCCATACTAACATTCTCCTCATTAACAATTCCCACCATTCTACCTTTGAAAACAAACGGACCTTTAATCTAAAATAAATGATATTTGTTTTATTCAAATCATCTAGTTTTAGGATTAATAAAGGTTTTAGGATAATAATGGATTGTATGGAATAATTAATCACTAAAATCATAAAATAGAATATTATTAGAGGTCAATATCTGGATTGGGCAAAAAAGGGTGCATCATTCCATGATCTTTCCCTTTTTGTACCTTAGCTCTCGAACCAATAATCTCTGGTTATGACAGATTAGGTTCTTAGCTTAGTTTTCATTGTTAAAGGTTTTTTTTTTTAATTCCTTATAAAATTAAGTGGTGACTCTTTCCATGTGAGATAAAGTAAGTTGGCACAAAATGGATGAAAACGTGCCTTATACTCGAAAAAGACATGTCGTCTACACCTAATATACATCTAAACATACAAATAATGGTTCTAAGCCTGGTTCGAGGTTACTAATATGATGATAATGCATAAAAAGCAAATAACAAGTAAAAAGTGAAAAATGTATTAAAAACTACATGATGATTCAAAATGGCCTCAATGCATGATTTCTATATGATTAAAGCCTAAACATGCTGTTTTAAGAAAAATAGAGCATGTGGAAATAGGCAAAAAAAAGGAACAAAATTAACACCATACACGGGCGGAGGGACGCAGACAGTATCGATTTTCTATCAACTCATAAACTCATCTCATATGAAAAAAAAAAGTTGTGCTTAATTCTATAATCAATTTTTTAGAATAAAAAATTATAATTTTTTTATAAATTTAATCTTATAAATTAAATAATTTAGATTAGTGAAGTGACTTAAAATGAATCCGCCAAATTATAAAAAAATACAGATTTTGATCATCGTCATTCTATATAAGTAGAAGTCCCCCCCCCTTTTTTTTTTTTTTTAGTCCAAATCCCAACCAAACATTGACACACACAACTTTTTTTTTGGGTGAATACACACAACCCCAATCATGGAAACAATCTAAAAATTTGCTAGGCAATCTAATAATAAAAAAAAAAAAAAAATTGTTGGGCAAAGCTTTCAATAGCAGGTGGCAGGACCTCTAAAATCTTAAAAGTGTATGACATTTTTTATTTTTTTTATTTATTTACAGTACTTGTTAAGTGTCTCTTTATTTTCTTTATCTTCTTTGTCTCCTTTTGATGCATTGCAATTTACCGACTCGCAATTCACTAAATTAGGATCACACAACAGAGATTTAGGAGCACACTATAACCTTGGTGTCTTTTCTTTATTGTTTACAAGTAGCTTTATTAATTATTATTTATTTGTAAATAAAAATTATGAGTGTTAATTTGCAATTATTTGTTAAGTTTCGATTTATAAAAATATTTTATTTGTTATTATTTATATTAAAATAAGAGATTTTGACATGCTAAAATTATGAATCTTAATTGGTGGTGATTTATATTAAAATTAGGGATTTTGGTTTGTTGTTGTTTTTGCTAAATTAGGGATTTGATTTGTGCTAAAATTAAAAATATTAATTTGTAGTGATTAATATTTAAATTAGGGATTTTTTTTTGGTTATAATTTGTGTTAAATTAGAAATTTTAATTTGTTGTGATTTGTGTTAAATTTATATTTTTTTGATTTGCATTAAAATTGAAGATTTTAATTTGTGGTGGTTTGTACTCAAATTGGGGATTTTGATTAGGAATTTATTTATTTATTTTTAAATAGTCATGGAGAGATATTTCAAAAGAAAATCAAAATTGGAATAATCTCTTCCTCAAGAAGAAGATGATAATTATTCTTCTACAAAATAAACTCGAATAGAAATCAACTTAGCAAACCTTCTTGCAGATCCAGGACTATGTCATTGGATTATGGACTTGTACGGGAAAGAAATAAACCTTCTCGTATAATCCTGTTGACCAAGTCTACTCTCCTCCGTACGTCGTCACTTTATCACCTGAAAACACAAACGTGAACTAGCCGACGGGTGTGTGCCGGAAACCTCTCCGATGCCTAAGTCAGTAAGCTTAACAAATAGACAAAGCTCTGTGTATTCAGAAAGCAAAATTGTATGTTACCTCCCCAAAGGTGATGTTTTGTGAGCTTTTATAGGTTTCGTGTGGCACAATCCTAGTAGGACTTCTACTCCTCCATGCAGAGTCGTCCTAGGATTCATACTCCTGAGAGATAATGCTTATCCTTTAACACCCCCCTCACTGCTTAAACCAAGTGAGATGGTTTTTACCATGGCCGAATTCCAACATGACCGAAGTAATCATGGCTATGCTGAGCCTCAGAGTAGGCCGAACTATACTTAGTTCGGTTCTTCCTTTTACTCCTCCTTATCTCGGTTCTCTCATGTACAACCCATGGTGTGTTCAGACCGAGCTACCGGGCAGCAAGGTTCTGACCGTTCTAACCACAATACGCTGCGACCAGACTAACTTTACATTCCTCTTGGGCCGGAGTAATTTTGTACCTCTCTTGGGCCGGAGTAACTTTGCGGCCTTTTTACTCAGCCCCTCGTATTGTGGGCCATAATGACCATCTCTCAGCTCG